CCTTTAATTAGAATGAATAATCAATAATGCAAAATGGGTTTGAATTTGTAATCTTCCTGACTTGGCTTCCCAGAGTGCTGGGATTTCAGGTGTGTGCCATCTCATCTGGCGGTTCCACTATTTAATGGTTTAAACTCTTATCAACTCAGAGTTCTATGCTAGTTTTCGTTAAATTTACCCTCCTGTTTAAACATTTTTCTAGTTTTCTCCTTGCATCTCTGATCTTCCATTGCATTACAGCTATTGTCCTTCTTGCCAAAAGGGCAAACCTTTACACTTCCTCTGAATGAAGATCAACCAATAACAAATCATTGTTTAATGTAAATGATCTTTGTTTTCTCTTCATCCTTGAGAGAATGTCATGGATACTGACAGTTGTTTCTTTAAGAATCACAAAGATATTCCTCTCATCACAAGCTTTTTCTGTTATTAAGAAGCCCGTGAACTATCTTCCTAACTACAAAAACTCTCTTCTTAGAAGACCATATGTTTTGAGTATGAAGTATGCTATAATTTTTCTGTGATGTTTATAGGTCTGCATTTCTATTAATTTATCATGCTTAAGATGCAGAAATTTCCCCAACTCTCTGGCTCAGTGTCTTCTACCATTTCTTCTACCATTTATTAGTTTTTAAATAGTTCAAACAGCCTTTCTATATATCTTCAGTAAACAGGAGGCTGAAGTTACTTGGTTTATCATTCTTGAAAGCAGAAGCCTTCGACCCTACTAATTTATATATGGAATTCTAGGCAAAGTTCTCACTTCAAAATATTCATGATCATGTGTCATATAGTGAGTGAACAATATTATAAAAGGGAAAGTTTTACTTAAATGGATTGATGATTTCTAAGTACTTTAAAATATTGTGGTTGATAGTGTGTCTGGTAATAAAGGTATTTTACAATTCATTGTAAAGATTTGGCTTTTAGAGTGTTGATTTTCTCTGAATTTGTTCTAAGAATTTTGAAAATAGGATGATATAAATCAGATTTAGTTTTCTTATTTGGGTGCTGGAGAAACTCAACTGGATTCTTTGCAAAAATCTTTAAGCTTCTAACTTGTCTTCTCACAGAGTGTAATATTTCCTGTGATGTTTTAAAAGTTTTAATATGATAGGCAAATTTTCAATATTTGATTTTTGTTTAGAAAATATTTCCCTATTCCAATATTTAAAATATATTTAAATGAAATTTCTATGAAGAGTATAAATTTTTGGTTTTTGTCATTTAACTCACTAATTCACCTGGAATTTGTTTCATATGGTAAGATGCACACATACAATTTCAACTTTTGCCTTTTTTTCATTAAGTTTATTGGTACATTTTAGGTATAAAATATAATGACATTCATCACTGGGATCTTGTGCCTTTACATGATGTATCTTGGTTCTTATTCTTTCCCCATTCCCCTGCCCTCCCTTCACCTCCCCCACCCGTCCCCACTTACAAGACTTTGTTTCCTTTTTTGCTTTTCTCATATTTTTTCTTTTCCCTTCTTTCCTTTCCCCTACCCCTCCCACTCCCCCTACTCCTTTAGACCTTCTCTACATATTTCACATTATCAATTATACATTTTGATCCTTATTTACAGTTTTAGTCTTTCAGAGAGACTACTTGGTATTTACACATATGTGTCCTATTTATTTCACTTAAGAGTATGGGCTCAGGGTGCATCCATTTAGCTATAAATGTCTCTAGTTTCTCATTCTTTATGGCTAAGTAGTACTCCATTTTATTTTTTTAAAAACTCACATATTTTTTATCCAGTCTCCAGTAGATGGGCAATTGGGCTGTTTCCAAGTTTTAGCTATTATAAACTGTGACACTATAAACATGGGTGCACATGCATCACTGTGGTATGATTCTTTTAATTCTTTGGGGAAGATACCCAGCAGGGAAATAGCGGGGTCAAATCAGAACCTCTAATACTAGCTTTTTGAGGTTTCTCCATATTGAATTCCACAGTAGTTGCACCAGTCTGCACTCCCATCAACAATGGAGAAGGGTTCCTTTCTCCCCACACCCCTGCCAGTATTTGTTATTTGTTGATTTCTTGATAGCAGCCATTCTTTTTGGGGTGAGGTGGAATCTCAGCGTTCTTTTCATCTGCATCTCTTGAATGACCAGTGATGTTGAACATATTTCATATGTTTATTTGCCGCTTTTACTTCATCTGAGAAATGTCTGTTCATTTCAAATTCCTATTTTTGGATTGGGTCTTTAAATTTGGGAGGCCTGATTTTTTTTTTTTAAGTTCTTTATATACTCTAGATGGTAGTGTTTTTTCTGATGAACAGCTGTTAAAATTTTTTTCCCACATTATAGGTTGTCTTTTAGCTCTGTGGGTGGTTTCTCCTGCAGTGTAGAAGCTTTTTAATAAGATGAGATCCCAGTTGTTAATTCTTTGTGCTAGTTCTTGTGCTACTGAGGATTTATTCATAAAGTCTTTTGCTATGCCAGTGTCTTCAAGAGCTCTACCTAACTTATCTTCCACCAAGTTTAGTGTTTTTGTTTTAAAGCTTAGATCTTTAAAACACTTTGATTTTAATTTAGTGCATGGTGAGAGACAGGGGTCTAGTTTTAATCTTTGGCAAGTTGAAATCCAGTTTTTCCAACACCATTTATTAAAGAGGCTATCTTTCCTCCAGTGAGGATGGTTGGCTCCTTTGTTAATGATGAGGTAGTTGAGTATGTCTGCAGTTGTTTCTGCATCTTCTAATCTATTCCACGGATCCTCAGGGCTGTTTCTTTGCCAGTACCATGCTGTTTTTATCACAGTAGCTTTGTAGTATAGTTTCAAGTTGGGGATTGTGATACCCACTGCCATGTCTCTATTATCTAGAATTGCTTTTGTTATTTTTGGTCTCTTCTGGTTTCAAATGAATTTTTGGATTATTTTCTATAGTTCTGTGAAATGTACTTCAATTTGGCCTTTCAACAACTGCTTTTTCAGCAGCAGTTCCTCCAAAGCCAATGCCTACTATTGACAGGGTCATTCTGCACTTTCATGTTCATCAACTTATCTCTCATTGTATTAATAACACACTTTCTATTACAAATGCTTCATAATTCTTATATATGCTAAAGTCTTCCCTCCTTTCTTCATTGTTAATTCTTTTTAATACTCAATAAGCTTTCCTTAGCCTTTTATCTTTCATATAAATTTTATAATAATCTTAACATGTACTGTGATCAAACTATAGCACTTTTATGGGAATACAGTTGAAACTTTAGATTTATAATTGACTTCTTTTTGCAACAAATTCTTCCTAAGTCTGGCTATATTGTAGGTATCCATTAATTAAGTTCTCATGTATTGTCTCTTAACAATATAGTATAATTTCCCAGATAGTTCACCAATTTTACAGGTATAATTTATATAAGGCACTTAATTAAAGTACATAAAATACTTTACACAAAGTACTGATAAAGTTGAAAATAGTGTCTTCTTATTATATTTTCAATTGTTTGCTATTGATATAAAAAAGACAATTGACTTTTGTATATGAATCCACATAAATTTCTCTATTTTGTTGAATTTTTTCTGTGCTAGTATTAGGTGTTTCAATGTAAATAATCATATTATTTCAAATAAAACCAGTTAATTTCCAATTTCTCCATCCTTATGTCTATAATTAAAAATAAAAATATTATTTTTATTGTATTTTGCCTATATGCATTATATTTTCTTCATTCGATACATGAAATGTCATCAACAAATATAACAAAGATTTAAATTTAAAAAAATTATTATGATAGAGACAAATCATCATTAATTCTCCTTAAAATACCCCCCTTCACTTTACACAAACTTACCCATCATTTTTGTCACTTTGCATTCAAAATGTTTATCTCTCATGGACATTTTGACTTTGGAAAAAAGCCCAAAGCCGCATGGCACCAGATCTGGTGAGAAGATGAATGAGACTGCGTGGTAATGGAGCCAGCTTTCCATTAGATGGCACTTGGCCGCAGCATTCACAGTTCTTTCAATCACTCTTCATAAATACATGCAATAAGGCTATCAGAATTGCTTCAGAAAGTGGCAAAAATGGTGGGACAAGTAGTGCTCTAGGGAAAGAAGACTATTTTGAAGGGGAATAATGGAGATATGTAAGACTGCCATAGACTTTTAAAACATTCATCATATTTTGGATCACCCCACATGTGTCATTTGTGTCTTTTCTTTTTTCTTCATCAGTTTTACCAGTTTTGCCTATTGTGTTAGGCTGTTTTTCAAAGAACCAACTTTTGACCTCATTGAGCTTTTGTGAGTTTATTCAAATATTAATGTCCACTACTATAAATATTCCTTAAATCACTGCTGTTGTTGTATCAAGAAGCATGTATATTTAATGGTGTTAGTGTATCTTATTTCTAAGAGTAATTATAAAGAACTACTATTATTTCTTCTTAGCCCTAAAAGATTGTAGCAGCCCACTTTTTTGAAACAATTCTGAATATGAAGAATATTTTTAATTAATCTTTTGGGTTTTAAGTCTTAATTGTACTGTGATCAAAGAGCATGATATGTACAATAACTATCTTTTGCAATATATTGAGGTGTTCTTTTTTGATTGAGTAAAATATCATCTCAGTAATTTTTTTGCTCTTAAAAATACATTTTCTAAGTGTTGATTGCAAAATTCATATCATACTTGTATTCAAAATACTTGATTGTTTTCCTGCTTGACTTATCAGTTAATGAAAGACATGTGTTGAAATCTCTAGTTATAGTGACATGTTGAATTCTTGCCTCTGTTTTGGCATTGTCCCTCCTTGCATTCATTCAGATCACTGTGATTGCTTATGCCTGAGGTGCAAACCTATCCCCATAATTAGGCTGATTGTGCCAGTGTAACCTGACCACATAGATTAATAATGAGTGATGAGTATTTTCTGAAAGGAAAGTACTGGATCTGTTCAATACACTAAAAACGTACTACAACCTGCAAACCACCCCAGTGATCTTTTTTTCCATCTTTACCACAATATTCTAGGGTCCATCCTTCTTTGGAATTGGAGACCATATTTAAATGCAATTTGGCCTATACAACTTTTATTTTTGGATCTGCACTGAAGTGGGAGGATCTGAAGCGAGTTGCGGTAAGATCTATTTCTTTTTCTCCTCGTGGTTTCCCTGTGCTACAATCATTAAGATGATAGGCTGTATTACTATTTCTGATTCTTTAACAGGAGGGAAAGATAGCTTTTTTAACCTTAAAACTGATCAGAAAAAAGTTGGAGTAGTTGACCTCCAAATCCTCTTTGACAAGGGCAAGTAGACATTACTGTTTGTGGACCCTTACCTTAAAGTTTTTTATTTTACTAAATTCTCTATTTACTAAATTCTTTATCAGATCTGGAAAAGTTATGGAGAACAAAACTGTATTTGTTCTTACCATCCAAATAGGGTTCTTACTAGAAGACATATTCTAACCAATTTCTCCTGCCCCCACTGATGTCTTCAGATAAGGGAAACACGAAGCAGAATAGCAGAAAACTCATTAAGGGTTTGAATTACAAATAATGAGCAATAGCCAACCCTCTAGTCAGTTTTGGTTTTAGATCAAAGCCAGCTTTCTTTCATGTCCTAAGTCTTTTAGAATCAATAAACCAAAATGTTTCAACTCAAAAGAAAGATCTATGTAATGACTACAAGCAGAAAATGACAGACCCTGTGTAATCTTTTTCTTACAGCTTGGTATTATTGCAGATATTTCAATAATTTTCTAGAACCTTAAGATTCAGAATCTAACATATATTGAATGACTACTTGGTTTAGGTCAAGAAAACTCCTAACTCCTCCTTTCTTTGCTGTCCTGAAAGACAAATATACAGGCAGTTTCTGAAAATGGTCTTATTGCTCATCACTGGACATAAAATAATAGTGATGGTAAGAAAAACATCACTTTGTACTTTAGCCATTTTGAAGCAATCTTCCACTTGTGTTGGAGACCCTGGCCCCTCAGCTCTAGTGCTCCTTGCCCTGCAAGTACGTACAGAACTATGATCCTGATATACAGACATCATGGTCACAACTCCTTCCCATGTGTGCTATTTTACTTGTTGGCAATTTTATGATTAAAATAATAAGAAAACCCAGCAAGAGGAACACTAGAATATTATCTGATGTGATTAACAAAATGGCTGCTGTTTAATCTTGAAGAGCAGGTGGAGTTTGCAGAAGCATGCCTGATTTTAGCCAACCCTTTGTGCAGTGACTCATATGCGGAGGACACTTCAAACATCATGAGGTAAGAAGCTGGCATTGCGTTTTGCATGCTCCAGTGCTGATATTTTTCTACTTCTACTAAAAGCCCAGTGCATAGAACTAAATAGCAGATGTCATCTGTCAGAGCACCAGCTCTATCACCTTCAGGTTTATGCTTATTTTTTGCACACACTCTAATATGAAGGTGGATACAAGTGAAACTAGAGCATCATATATGCATACTTGCTTCTCTGTGTTCTTATTCAATGTTTCACAGGTAATAGCAATCTGAATTTAAAAAGAAAGTGTACAAATAACTGAGAACTATTTAGATAGCACCATATAACTAAGATCTTCTTTTCCTCAAAAAGATGCCAGTTTTGAACTCTATTAGTACACTTTATTGGGATTTTTATCCTGTACTTCTAGTGAAATATTATGCATGATTTGTATGATATTGTTATGACCACTGGCAAGTATTTCCAAGATGGACAGCGTTAACATTAACATCTTTAACTACAAGTTATCTATGAGCACGAGCTTGACTTATGTTAACTGAAGTTCAACTATGATTATGGCAGTATATCAGTCAGCTATCCCAGGCTGGGACAAAGCACACAACACCCAGAAGTAAAGGAGGAGAGGTTATTTTGACTCACAGTTTTTATAGGATTCAGTCCAAAGTCAGCTAGTTCCAATTCAGAAATATCATGATGGATAGGCCTGATTGAGGACAGCTGCTCATCTCATGAAACAGCCAAGAAACAGGAACAAAAGAGAGGACCCAGGGACAAGAATATACCCTTCTAGTTCACACCCCCAGTGACCCAATTCCAACCAGGCCCTATCTCCTAAGAGCAATACAGCAATGAACTCATCAGTAGGCTATTCCACTGAAGAGTATAGCACTCCCTCATGATCCACCTTCTAAACATGAGACTTTTGGAGGACATTTTAGATCAAAATCATAACATTCTAAACCTAGCCCCCCAAAGACTTATGTCCATTTCATTATATAAAATACATTTAACCCATCTCTAAGAGTTGCCAAAGTATTGACAGTTCCACCATTACTAAAAAGTCCAAGTCCAAAATCTTTTCTGAGACCTCAGGCTAATTCTTAGCTATAATCTCTTGTAAAAATCAGAAAGAAAATCAAGTACTTCAAACATTTCCATTCCAAACATGATAGAATGGAATGGGATCAAAGGAAGTCTGAAACCCTGCAGGGCAAACATTAAATTTTGTAGCTCCGTGTCCAGTAGCACCCTGGGCAGGTGGTTGTAAGATGTGAGCTCCACAGGAGTTAAAGGGGTCTCCCTCTATGGCTGTGCTGCTTGCAGCTCACGTAGCTTCTCTTGAGCTAGTTCTGCTCCCTGCCTGAGGCTTTCCTCTGCAGGTGTCCATGTTCCTGTAGTATCCACTACACTTTCAGTTTAACTCTCACAGCTTTATACATTGCCTTCTCAGGGCCACACTGCCTTGCCTCCCAGACCTTCTTCTGAAATCTGGGTGGAAGCTTCTATGACCCTGTAGTCTTGCATTCTGCATGCCTGAAAAGCCAGCATCAATTGAATGATGTCAAGGTCTGGCAATGGTGGGATCATTAGCCAGGCCCCTTGGACCATGACTGCAGTACAGTGCAGTGGCCTCTGTGTGCCTAGATGGCTGAGTACAGTGAAATGAATCCTAGAAAACCAATTTCCTAAGCAGTCCTTCTAGAGCAGGGGATGCAGAGGCTCACTTCTCAAATGAGAGCTTTTCAGTTTTAAATCCTTAAGTCTGCAAAAGGTAATGTCTTTTGCATTCTTGAAATATTTTCATGTCATCTTTCCTATTGTCCTAATGCAAGTATGTGGCTTCTTTTTATTGCACACAATTTTTTCTACAACCAAGCCTTCCATAGCCCCACTTTGCATGCATTTTATTATTGAACCACAAACTTTTCACATCTGATTTTTACTCATGCTTCTCAGCAGTACCCATCCCAAAACCTGAACTTAGGGCTGCTTTGTACTTTTCTTCTCCAGATTAATTAGTCCACTGGCCTTAATTTCATTCTCCACAAATTCTCAGAACATGGCCAATATGAAGACAAATATTCTGCCAGGATGTAGCATACATGGCCTCTTGGAATCATTGTTCCCAACTAAAACCTCCTGAGCCTGGCCCTTTACTCTTCACATTTCTATTAGCATGCAGCCTTCCGAAATCTGACAAGAATCTCTCATCAATCTGTTTTCTTTGCTTACCATATTCTAGAGCTTCTCTAGCCAGCATCTCCACAGCTTTCTAAATTCCTTCCCCAAACCAATTCCAAAGACTCGAACAACATGGTTAGGTAAAGTCACAGCAATGATCCCACTTCTCTGGTACCAATTTGTATATTAGTCACTTTCCAGCCATTGGGAAAAAATACTCAATACACACAATTTAAGAAGTTTGTTTGGGGTCATGGTTTTCATAGGATTCAATTCAATTCTGGCTGGCTCCAAGGCAGAAACAGCACGGTATAAGATGCTAGTGGAGGACAGCAGCTCATTCCATGGCAGCCAGTTCTTTCTCTTCAGGCAAGCAGAAACAAAGAACAGAGGAACTGGGGATAAGAATATCCCCTTTCAGGTCATTCCCCCAGTCACCCACCTCCAACCAGGCCCCGCTTCTTAACAGCAAGTCAGATCTGAATCATCAGTGGAAAAATCTACTAATGAGCATAGAGTCCTTGTGATCCCATCACCATTCAAACACACAAAACTTTTGAGGGATCTTAAGATTTAAACCATAACAGCTGGCAGTGGTCTTGTGCCTAACCACATGAATTTCTGGTCCACAGAAGAAAATAAATATGCATAGGTGAAGATGATTCTACTTGTGGCAAGAAATAGCTGAGGACTTACATCATTTATAGTACTGTGAATATGAGCTAGATCTTAATTCCTTAACTCATAAAATAAGAAAGTTAAATTATATATTATACAGTCTGCTGCAAGGTATGGACAGCAAGTAAAACTCTGTTTTCCCCGTCATTATCATGTTTGGATCTGAAGGCTAAAACATGTGAAACCTTTATTTCCTCATCAAGAACTGGTTCCAGAAGACCACTGTCTTCTAAGACCAGTAGCTGACATTTCAATAAATTGATCTAATCTGACTTACTCACTGAAACAATGGGACTCTTCTGTATTTTTTTCCCCAGTACCTGGGATCAAACTCATGACCTTGAACTTGCCAGGCAGGTGAGGTTACACTGAGCTATATCCCCGGCTTCTGTATATGTTATTCATGGAACATTTTAGAAAACACACATTATATAATATACTAAGTCTTCCTCCACTTACACATCCATCATTTAGTCTAAAATGAATTATATAAAAAGTACACCATGGCATGTCATAATGAGCGTAATTGTGGTTTATGCAGGGTGCTCTCTATCAAGAACTATTACCCTAAGGCTAGAGTCATCATACAGATTCTTCAATCCCATAACAAGGTATGAAACATTCCAGCATAATTAGTCTCCTTATGTCTAGGTCTATGTAGCTAGGTGAACCTTACTACTCTCAAATGGATCTACAAATTAGAAAGATTTGCCAATCATAGGCGAAATTTGGAGTCTTATTAAGATTGTGAATTACTTAAAGATATAGCTTGGGGTCAGAATTAGAGGTCTGAGTCATTTGACCTAATTTTACAACACTGACAAACCACTAACCACTTTAAAATCCTGAATTGTTTATTATCCCTTGCACTGACCCAGACACCACTTTTATTCTCAAAAGTGAAGAGCAAATGATATCAAGTAAATGAAATGATAGACATCCATCCAGAAGGACTTTCTTGAAGAATGTATATTCTTACCACTTGACTTGATTTCTACCATGAAACAGATTTTCCTGTCAAAGATTCCCAGCTGGGACTGGAGTACTGGAGACAACATCATCTGCTTTGCAGAATTAAAGCTTGGATTTATTGCCCAAGGCTGTCTGGTCCCAGGCTTGTGCACCTTTCTAACATCTCTATTTGTTGAGCAAAACAAAAAGGTAAACTGTGAATTTTGGCTCTTTCCCAGTGTCACATATATTATGATCAGAAATAGAAAAAACAAAGTTGTTTCAGGAAAGAAAGACATTCCCAATAAATGAAACTTGACCTCTGTTTAACCTCCGAAGAAACTGAAAGGGCTAGATAAAGATTCCAGGTACTTCACTGGCCTTGAGAGGTCACTTCTCTTATTCCTGCGGTGTTTATCTCCAGATCAGAAAGCATAACTCTGCTCCCTATCTATGTTCCAGAATGTCATAAGTACAAGTAATACTCATAATTTTTGAAGCATTTTAGTCATTGAGAGTGAAAATGTAAACAAAAGTTATATTAATGAATATGTAAAATATTTAAATGCAAATCAAATTAAGAAAAAGAAATTAGCATAATAAGAAATTATTCAAATAAAAGTAATGATGTAAATAATTTAAAACTTTTTTTCAGGTTATTTTAGGGACAGTCCATAAAGTAGCAATAATAGTGATAATGTGTTGATTTATAGTATGTGGGTTGTTTCCCCTCTATAATATTTTACATTTGTATCCCAGCAGTGGGTTGGCAAAGCTAATTATCTTGATTGTAAAGTGAGTTAGTGAATACACACCAATAATTTCCTAGTCCACAATCTTACCATCATGCTCTATGAACTTCTACAGCACAAAGGGCTATGAAATGCTCCAGAAGAGGGGCTCCAACCTTTTCCTGGGCCAAGTATTCCTTGCCAAAACACCCTCCAGAAAATAACATTTCTTTCCATTTTATTCTGAGTCCACATTGCCATTTCATATGCTCGATGGCCCTCCTAGCCTCTTTTTGGTATAGACCTCTGTTCAAAACAAAGTTTTCACATCTTTTCCTATTCCTTCCTTGACGCCATTAAGGAAAAGTGAAAGAAGTAAAAGATGTTCTGGCCAGCAAAATGCTAACGGAAACAAACAGGATTCTTACATAATTTCTTCAGTAAATGTAAGGAACTATAATATATAGATAACAAGAAATGACCATTAGGCAGGAGGGAATGAATCTTGATAAGCATGACCTTTCTTTCATTTAGCAGTCATTATGTACGGCTGAAGTAATGGCTCGTAAGGATGTTTTCTTTGCCTGTTATACAGATAAAGAGACAGGGAGTTTCAACATACTGCTGTAATGATTGTGACTTTTACACCCATGCCTGGATGAAACAGATAGAATGAAAATTCTATATGAAAATACTGTCTCCATGGGAATATAGAATGCAGAGATATAAAACAAATCATACCTGCTTTTCCTTTATTTTTAAATCTGAACTGTTAATCTTTTGTAGGGATAAGCACATGCCAATATTCATCACATGATAACTTATAGAATACAGGAGATATTTGTGGTCTAAATATATGGAGACAACTACACACACATGCATGCACACCCATAGTATGTATGCGTAGGTATATATATATATTTTTTCTTTTAATGAATTCTGAAACTCACATTGAGAAATCCTAAATTGGGAATATTCATTTTGCTGGTTTAGATTCTGTACCATTCCATGGACTTTGGTTTAGTGATGACGACTCCAGAGATTTGAGTCTCATTTTTCTCAAATCAGTCCCTCACTTTCTCTGTCTTGCCGTATCTCCATGTATAAAATGGGGCCATCAACCAATATGGTTTTTCTAAGTGTAGAGTTAGTATTTGTAAAATTTCTACTCTTATTAGAAGGTCTTGAATAAATGCCATGTTTTTAATTATATAAATTATATTGTGAGAAATTGTAGTCTAAATGGAATTTCTAGTTGGCCCTAGGTTGAGAGCATTACCTTATACTTAAAATTAGATTAGATCCAATATATCTGGATTACTTAAGTCCCAGAGTCTTATACCCAATTCCACATTGTTCTACAGTTTTCCTTTTTGATCTTTTAAAAACTTTCTCAGGAAGGCTTCTGCATCTCCACAATTATCATTTTTATACTCTTTCAAAAATGGAAACATTTATATTAGAAGTATGTTATGGTTGGGAAAAAAATGTCTCTTAAAGGCTTATATGTTCAGAAGTGAAGCTTTCTGAAAGTGATTAGATCACAGGGTAGCAACCTTACCAATGGATTAATCCACTGATGAATTCAGAGCTTAATTTGTTGTTAGGAGGTGGGGCCTTGTCAAAGGAAGTAGGTCACTGGGAGTATGTCTTTGAGGGGTATATCTTTCATCTTGATTTTCCTGTCTTCTGCATCCTAGCTGCCATGGATTGATGAGCTTTCTTCTACCATACCGTTCTACTCTGTGTTTCTACCTTGAACCCAGATGACCAGGAACTGAATCCCTGAAACCATGAGTCAAAGTAAACCTCTCTTTCATATAGTTGAGGGTGTTTTGTCCCAGTGGGAAAGGAATGTGACTAACACAAAGCTCCAAGCCAATTTCTTTAGTAATTGCAACTTAAATAGTGATTTAAACTGCCCAGTGTGGGCAGCCCTCCTCATGAGAGGAATCCGATCTCAGAGATTGGGAAATGGCAAGAAATTCTGCTGAGTCTCAGTGTGAAGGAGGGGGATAGGGAAGGGTGCTAAATTGTCTGAACTAGGTGCTGCTTTTTAGAAGAGTGACTCCCAAATCCCAAGATCACAATCTGAGGAGAATTTCTGAAACATCTATAACTTCAAAGCAAAAATGCTCCAGTGAGGCTATAGGAATCTGACTTTCACCTGAGATTCTGGGATTAGAGACCCTGTCTTGCCTATTAGGTCAGTGTGGTGGAGAGTCTCATGGAAGCTTGTAGGAGGATGAGGAGGGCCTGACACACAGGCCAGAGAGAAGGTACCTCATAGGACTTTCTCTTCCATGTGCCTGTTGCTCTAGAAACCTACTGCCATCCTTGATTTTTACATGAACATTGCCATTGTTCAGGAAGGTTCTTTGAGTTCATTTGAACAAAAGACCTCTTCTAAGTCTGACAGAAGGCGGAAATATTTTTTCTTTGTAATATGTGGTTCATCAGTAGAGGACCAAGAGGTTTCAAAAGCAGTCTTAAATAGTCCCATCCAGAGAAAAACAATGTAGATTCTACATTATCCTTTCCATCTTACTGCTACTGACTCAGAAAACCATCTACCATGCTGAAATTAGGAGTGGACAAGACAGAAGAAGTCAAATTTCCAACAAGGAGACTTGGATGCCATCTGAGAAAAAATGAGACTTGGTGCATCCACCTCACCCTTAACTCCTTGGTGAAAATTGTTGAGTTTTAGTTCTGCCCTTTAAGTTTTTTTTTTCAGGTACACAATAGAATAACTCTCCTTCCTGGGACCTAAATGCACTGGAAACTAGTGGTATGTACAATTTGTATTCTAATATTCCTGATCCCATATTCACATTTCCCACACTCATGATTTTGTCTCCCAGGTTTCTCCTAAAGAGCGTTGGCAAAAACATTTCTTGAATGGCCTGAAGAATAAAATTCTGACCCAACATCTGTCTGATGACTTTGCTGGAATGAGTTTTTCTGAGGTTTCCAGGTAAGTTAGGTGAAATGCTTTCTCCATCCTTCACACATGACCACAAAGGTGGTCATGGAGAGCACACTGTAAAACAGGATTCAGTGACAAATCTGAAGGGGTCAGAAGGGATTACCCAGAGTCTGTGCAACCTAAGAGTTCATAATGCACTTAGGGCAGTTCTCCTGTGTCCCTGTCTAAGAGTTATTGGCAAGGCATTTGCTCACAAGTGGAAAATCTGTATTTGAGGCTTCCTTCCTCCACTGAGATGCTGGTCTTCTTCCTAACATGGAGCACAGTAGTGTGAGTCAGATTCTCCTGAACTAATGTCCTGCTTGTTCCTGTCTCCTCACAGCTCATTGTCTTCTTCCCTAGGCTCTGCTTCCTGAAGATGCACCTCATGCTGATAGCCATTGAACACAAGTCCCTCCTTAATGGTGGTTCCTGGTACCAGTTTGATTTGTCATCTTTTCTGTTTTTTTAAGGGGAATCTTCCTGGTTAAGATTTTTCTAAAGATGCAGTCATAACTAAGAGTTTTAACATTGTTGAAAGCTTGCCTCTTGTGCACACAGGTTCTGCTATTGTGGAGCCTCTGTGCTATCCCTAAATGACTGGGGTTAGGATGGATTTCTCAGGAGGTAAATGCTTTACCTTTGTTTTTATGGCTCTGTTCTCTCATGAGCAGAGTAAGAAGCAATGGTCACCTTCACAGAGCTCTTTCTGCTAATGACATTACCTTGGAGGTCTTGACCATGAAACAATACTGTGAATTACTTATGATGAAAATGTTCCTACACTCTCTAGATTTAGAGAGTGAGGTGCAAAATCTGACAAAATAAGAATTTGGCTGGCCTGCTAAATACAGTTTGCTGCTGATAAATGAAGGAAAGGGGTAAAATCATTAGGCCATTATCATTTCCTGGGAATCCTGATGGGTGTAGCATGAGAAGTAAGGGAAATTCATCACATACCAAAAAAAGAGAAACCAGGACAAAAAAAGTACATGAACATAAATGGGAGAAAAGGTAAAAAATGAATCAATTGCAGTTATAAAAAATGGTGACTGAAAGGGATAAGGAGTACCAAAAAAATAAAACAAAACAAAAACTATGATGTTGCTTATGTATGTTGTTTAGTGGAAAAATAGCTCAAGCTATGTTGGAATCTACAAATTCTGATTCTCAGGATGATTTGTTACATCATTTGTACAAGTAGAATGGAGAGGTCAATTCAGTTAATCTTTAACTCTAAGAATCATAGAATTATGGGAAAACATTCAAACTTCAGTAGCATCCAGTGATAGCTGGGCTATGAAGGTATGATTTTATATGAAAGATTGACAAGGAGAAAAGATCTATCTGAATAGAGGGATAGAAGGTGTAAAAGTTGTCTTGGCAAAAGAAATCAGTGGCCTACTGTAGAAGGAAAGTCATTAATAAGACAGTAATAAATCATCTGAATTTCTAAATTCTATTTGACAATCCTTCCATGCTCAAGAGAATCACACAATCCAAACTTATGCTCCTAAACATCTGCCCATCCAACTTTCTACTGAAAACAGATCATAGTAAAAAGGGTAGCTTTAAAATTATAAACCAGGCAATCTGGGTTTCAGATTGACTTAAAAGTTAATCAAATTTTAGTAACATCTTTGTCCTCCAAGAATCTGGACTATGCATGGAAACTCTGAAATTTTAAAGACCAAGATTACCAAATCCCATTTCTGACTTTGCAAAGTCAAAATCTCCAAGGGTGAGTCCTGAGAATTTTTCTGAAGTCTGTATGACATAGTCAATATATTCACTGACATTCAGGAATTAGTAGACCACACAGTCTAAAGATCTTTTCCAGCTCTAACATTGTAGGTGTCCATAAACTGTATTGAAATAACTGTTAATACAACCAGAAGCATGAATATTTTCTAAGCAGCTAAATCCCACATAGATGGAAGAGGTCCTGGTGCTGTTTATACCTGGCACACATCTACTGTCAATGAAAGAGGGACCTGCTCCAACATAAATTTAACTCTCTCACGGAAAAGTCAGGTGAATCAAAGTGATTACAACTTGATTTTAGAAAGATATTGATAGCATTTTTCACAAGAGTGTAGGTTCATGACCCACATTGCAGTAGGCACTTTACATATATTAACTCTTAAATTCTCAAAATAATACTGGGAGGTAGGCACAATTTTTAGTCCCATTTTATGGATCAGGAAGTTAAGGCTCTGAAAGGTTAAATAATTTTCCAAGCTCACACAACTCCCAAGTAGCAAAGCTATGGTCTGCACTGAGTCTGACTCTGGGGACTGTGGTTCTAGTTACCACAGCCACTGCTAGTAGAGAGAACACCAGATATCTCAGTGGCTAAGCTTCAGGCCTGGGTAGTGAAAGACTGAAAGAAAACTTCTCTTTCACCATTCTTTGTTTCCTCTTTTAATTGATACACCTGAATAACCTCTAAAACTTGCAAAAGCCCTGGATAATCATAAGGGGTTGTTATAGGAAATAATACTTTGCCTGCTGAGAGATGATGCTGATTCTGACCCTAGTCACATAATGTGATGAGTGTGCTCCAGTGAGAATGTTCCCTAAATAGAACAATTGGCCATGATTCACAATGGGAGTACAAACAACAATTTCAACTTGGATAATCCTCAAAGTCCACCTCCTCTCAAAAATGCAATCAGATACAATCTTCACAGCTAGAGTTCAGATCCCCCCAAAAGAAAGAGGTACATAAGTAACAATCATATGCTTACTAGTTAGTGAAGATCAACCAGTGGTATTTGAGGAGCCACAAAGCCATGTTCTTTCCCTTTGAAAGTCAAATCCAGTCATACCTCTAATTACTCTCAGTCAGCATATGCTTAGAAAATGTTATCCATTGTCTCCATTGAGAATCAACTGAACATAGCTAGCAAGCCCCATTCAGACCTTGTCAGAGGGCTTAAGAGGGGAGTGTGTGTGTTTGTGTGTATGTGTGTGTGTGTGTGTGTGTGTGCGTGCATGCAAGCCCTTTTACACTATGCAACTGAGGAGTTTCCTAACAGCAGAGTATGTCAAAATTAAGATGTGACATCATTTCAGTGTGAATTTTCAAGGAGGAAAAGAGTGTTTTCATCATCTAAAAAAGAAGCAAGGGAGTCCTCACTAAGCTAGAGGTATGAACTAAGAAGAAAAATAAAGGCAAGACATCCTGACAAACAGAGAGACGTTTAGATAACTCAAAAAAGCCATAATGGGGTACTATATCAAGGCACAGAATAGTTGGAAATTTATTAGACAATATTAAATATATAAAACATATGAGAACAGAGAATCAAAATGTTGAAGTCATGTGGAAATAGAAATAATTCACATGGCTCCTGCTGTCAAAAATCTTGCAATCAAAATATACAAAAGTGAAGTCAAAATAAATGTACACTTTAAAAACCTGTATAGGTAAATAAAAGGAACCTTTGAATTCAGTTGATTGAGTCTGCCACTCATTTTAATGGCCTAAGGATGAACACCATTAGCATGACCACAAGACTGGCAACTAGTTGGCCTAGTTGCCATTTGATAGTCTCATTCAATAAGGCATCATATATTTGCATTGGCTGAACCACCTTAGATTCCTAATACGATATTAGGAGGAACTTCTGTTCAACTCAGCTATGAAGGCAGCTCAGGTAAAAATCAAGTTTTTACCTGGTTCCCCTCAGCATATTTAGCAGCAATCAAACAAAGAATTAATAGAGACAAATTCACATTTTCCACTGTGTTGACAGTGAAAGGAAATTGAATTCTATTAACTTGGCAACTTAGAGAAACTCTGGATAATGACAAAATGAAACATCAAATATTGCCACAGAAATCAGAGGGAAAATTGACTGTATTTTTATTTTCCATTTCCAGTGGTCTGATACTAAATCCACCTTCACAAGTGAAGCTGCATAAGAACACATTAGGGTTCTTTATTGCTGAATCTCCAAGAGAAGTCAGGAGGTAATTTTTTTATTACTTTATAGAGGGAAAGCACTAAAGCAAATACAACTTAATGGGAGGTGTACTGAGTCAGCACTGTGTCTCCTTAGCACAAAGCCTCACATAAGTCATTCTTGGTTTGCTCTCATTGTCCAGAGCCTTCTTTTACTGTTCCAACTGTCATGGTGATGTGCAGAATCCTGAGCTAATTGAAAAATGTGGCTGCAAAAGTAGGAGCTGTCAGCACCCCACAGGTAATTGTAGTTGATATCAAGCAAACTTTAGCCCAGCCTCTCAGAGTCTGGCCAAGACAAGAGAAGAGGGTTCCATCACTTAAAGGACAATGCCTATTTGTACTTGACCAGGTTGAGAAATATGTTTTCCCACTGTGCACCCAAGACCTGAGAATCAGTCTTTCAAAGGTGAAACAATCCTACTGCTTATCTAGTTCAACTCCCTTTTAGGCCAGGTGAATGGATCCCAAGAGAAATTCAGTAATGCTGTCCAAAATTACAGAGCCATTTAGTGGCATTGCCAAACTCAACCCTAGGCATGCTGACTTTCAGCCTGAAAATGCAGCCTATATCTGACTGCTTGGTTGGTCATGAGCACAACACTTTCTGACCATTCCTTGAGTATTGCTTCCTTGGTGGATGGTTGGCAATTTAAAGTTTATTCATTCAGCATAATGATGAGGCCATGTAACTTTCTCTGTCATCTGTAAGTGGACTCAATGTGTTATGAATGACCCTTTCCACTTCAATGCAGGAAAATAAAAATTAATCTCAAGTCTTTAGGATACATTTGTCCCTTCTGTTTAAAAGTTAGTCTCCTCCAGGTAGATTCCTATTCTTTGTGCAAAATCCCAGTGTTTCACAATTTACACTTAATTAGTTCAAAATGTGAATTTCCTATCAGGAGTATTCTCATTCCTAAGATTCTCAGTCTCTCCTTGTCTTCAAAAATGCTATTTAAATGTGGAAGTAAACTTTTTCAACATCATGATTGTTCTTGCAGTGTACATCAAGTCCTTACCAATGTCATGTAGGAATGAGGTTCCTCCTTCCCTTTGCTCTGGGATTGTCACACTCTGCACCTCCCATACCAATAACAAATAAATCACTTCCTTCTGATTCTGGGTCACCTTCTATCAATTTGTAATGGAAATCCGTCATCCCTGTTATAGCCTTTATTCTTGTAATCTGCAAACCACCCCCCTCCTTCAGTGTGCCTAGTCTTTGCATTCCTGATGTTACTCTACCCCCTCTACTGCTTGGAATTCGCCCTATGCACATATTGCTGACAGGGCTTGGGACCTGAGTGGATGCCCTTCCCCACCCAAGCCTGCTCACATAACCATGCTGCTGTCTCTTCTTCCATATTAGTTTGCATTGCTACCACACAGCCTTCCCAAATAGCCCACCTCAAAACCAAGGAAAGTGAAGCATCACTCTGTATCTCCCCATGCCCACTGCAGAGGTATCATATCTTTCTTTTCTAGCTATCCCTCACCAACCTGAAGTACTACCTGTATATTCAGGGCTGGGGGACTGGATTCTTTCTCAGGGATGGAGCTTTGTCTTTTTTAATAGCAGATTTACTGAGATAAAATATGAACAGTATCATATAAATACCATATCCATTTAAAGTGTAAAATTCAGTGGATTTTAGTGTATGGAGAGAGTTGTATAACTATCACAACAATCAATTTTAGAACATTCTTCCCAAAAAGAAAGTCCTCCAGGACCATGAGCAATCATTCCCCAGTTTTTCTTCCCTAGCTACACCTCTGGAGACCACTAGTCTAGGTTTTTGTCTCTATAGATTTACCTATACTATTCATTTCATAAAAATGGAATAATTCAGCATATTCAGACTTTTGTGGGTGGCTAATTCATTCAGCCAAGCCATATCATGTTATTTATTTTTAAGACTGTATAATATTCCATTGTATGGATGTTCTCCACGTTTTTATTCATTCATCTGTTACTGGATATTAAGGTTATTTCCACCTTTTGGATATTGTGTACAATACTGCTATGAACATTGAGGTACAAATATCTGTTAAAGTTCTTACTTTCAATTTTTCTGTGTACATGCTCAGGAGGGGATTAATAAGACAAATGTTAATTCTGTTTTAATTTTCACCATACTGGTTTCTACAACATTACATCATTTTATGTTCCTACCAGCAGTGTGCAAAGGTTACAGTTTCTCCACAGTCTTATCAACACTTTTTACTTTCTGTGTTTTTGTGTTGTTTTTTATTTATTTATTTATTTTATTATTTTTTTATTTTTGTGTGTGTGTTGTTTTTTAATAATAGTCATCTTAATAGTTTTAAAGTGATGTGTCATTTTTTTGGAATGAATTCCCTTAATCACTGATGATGGATGATGTTGAGCATATTTTCATGAGGATCTTATTGGCCAGTTTTACTTCTTCTTTGAGGAATGATCTCTTCAGATCCTATTGTAACTATGTTACTGTCTTTCTATCACTGAGTCTGTCATAGACAGTCTTTGTATACTCTAAACGCATGTTCCTTATCAGATATATGATTGGCAAATATTTTCTCCCACCTGTGGTTTGCCTTTTCATTTTCTTTACACGCTTTTTAAATTTTATGAAGTTCAGCAATGTGTTTCTTTCCCTTTCTCACTTGTGCTTTAGTGTAACATCTAAGGAGGTTTTGACAATCCTACAATTATAAAGATTTACACTGAGAATTATGTATTTTTGGCTCTTACAGTGAGATCTGTGGTCCATTTCAAGATGATTTTTTGTGATTTTTTTTTAAGAAGGGGATCCAACTTTACCTTTTTCAACATAGATACCCAATTGTCCCAGAACCATTTGTTCAGATAACTATTCTTACCCCATTGGATTGTTTGTGGCATTCTTGTCTAAAAAAAATAATAACATAAATGTGTGGGCTTATTTCTGGAGTATATATTCTAATCTTTTAATCTGTATGTTCACGCTTAAGTCAGTACCATTTTGTCTTCAATATTGTACTTTTGAAGTGAGCTATGATATTGGGAACTGTGAGTTCTCTGACTTTGTAATTGTTTTGTGAGGTTACTTTGATTATTCTTGATTTGTACATTTCCATATAAACTATAATTGTGTGTCAATTTGTGTAAGGAAGTCAGCTGGGATTTTACTAAAACTGTGTTGAGTTGAAAGGTTAATTTTGAAAGTATTGGTATCTTACCTATATTAAGTTATCCAGTCTATAAGCATATGATGTATTTACATCTGTTTAGGTCTTTAATTTCTTTCATTCAGCAGTGTTTTGTATTCCTTTCTTTTTCCATTTTTTTTGTGCTAAATTCTTTTATTGGTACATTGTAGGTATACAACACAATTACATTTCTCACTGGGAATTGTACCTTTACATAATGCATCTTGGTTCTTATTT